TGCACATATAGAGTTATGAAAATATCCTTTTTGACTTCACATATTTGTTGTTGGAGGTACTGAGATATTATTTTGAAAGTATTTCCTTTCTCCATCACGTGATGAGGGTAAAGAAATTCGAAATGATCACCTTTACCTGATGTAATGAACAAACGATGGAGGTACTTGCGATAATGTAATCATGTCAATTGACCGAATTTGATAAGTTAATTATATTCAAGTAAAATATACTTACAGCATAAATAACTTAATTGACGTTGTGGTAAGATGATTTTTGAGAGAAGCTGATTCGGATCTTCCTGTTCAATCATCACTAAATTCTCCATACTCATAACATCCTTTTCCTTTACAATTTTTTTAGGAATGATTTATTATAGATCAATAAAATTATTTATTAGAAAGGAGACAACTGTGGTGTTTGTGGTTGCAATAGGGGTTGTGGAAGTTTTGACAGGGGAAGATTTGGTGAGGGAGCTGAAAAGGTAAGAGATTGTTAATTAAAAAACATGATAAGAAAGGACTATTTAATAAAATACATGAAATATTTAATAAAACATACCACAGCTTGAACTATACTCACAAGTCTCTTGGGCTACATGATAAAAGTAACAACAGTTTTAGACCCAAAGTACAAACGCTACCAAGAGTGACCAAGAGTCTATTAGGATTCTCTAAATAAAGCTTAAACAATTCCTCGATATTTCCCACTTAAAGGATCCTTTGACACGTGTCTAATAACATTACTCTCTTTTATGCTATGAAATCCAAGAGGCTGTGTATAAGGTGCATCGGCAATCGTCTCTTATAATGAAGTCATAAGAGTCATCATCTCCTCTTTCATTTTTGCAAGCCAAGTCTCCGAACGAGTTTCAAATGAAGCTTCAGCATCCTTTATATTTGTCATTGCACTTTTCCAACTCCTCTCTCATAACAACCCCAGAGTTACTAGAGTGTGTAGGTGCTCCAAAGTAATCTTTGATCTCCACACCAAATCTAACACCTCTAATATGCCTCGGATGCTTTGGTTTGCCTGTAGCAATCGCCAAGATGTTATTTCTACCCTTTGGAATGAAGGATCCTTAAGATTGTTATTCTTTAAGAGCTTTTTGTAATAAACAAAACAAAAATTATGACATTTTGCATTCATAATTGAATAAAAAAATTAAAGAATTAAATGTTATTTACAATCCTTTCGGCAACCTCACGTACCTTCTAGCTTGTATACCTTCCTTTCTTGTATTGATGACCATATCTCTATTTATCCTCACAAAGATAGGTAATGGTAGGGATAAGAGAATAGAAGGATCAGATTTAGCTTCTTCTTATCTATTATTGAATTTCTCATTCATCAAGATATCATCAGCACGACCATAACCCTTAAGAGACATTGTGTGGGGGCATTCATTTCTCCAAGCAATTTCTTACCCTTTTGTTCGTTTCTCTTATTAATAAAAAATTAATAAATTAATACAATCATTTAAATTAAATTACTATAATTAAATCAATTAGAAATCGACTAACCATAGTTTTTTTAAAGTCCTTGTAAAGTCAATCTTGAAACCTCTCTAACGCTTCTCATAATATTTTATCAGCTGTCTCTAACATGCTTCATCATTCAGAACATCATAGGTGTGCTGCAATTAATAATAGTTAGTATTTTACACATAATAATTATAAATGTTTATGACTTTACAATGATATATCTGAATGTTTTCCTAAATATGTTCCTTCACATGTTCTGGCACATCAAGCCAATCTTTATATAAGATATCAGGCATGTTACGTGATAGGAGCTTAAGGTAGTTGACAAACTTGGCTTTGTTTGGCCATCATAGTTTCCACCACTAATCGAATTAGGATGGTAATTTGTGGCCAGTAGTCCTACTCAAGGTTAGCTCTCTCAATCGTGTGCCTCATCTACCCCTCCTTATTGATTGGCTTTGTCTAGGATCATTATCACGGCTATGAGCAACCTTTGCAATTAATTGGCTCTGTGTAACCTTTATAGACACTGGCTTAGAGCACCGTTAAAAGGTCCACTTTGATTCTTCTCCATGTTCCTGAAAATAAAACATAAAGAATTGTAAATAAAACATAATTCAAATAATACAAAAAAATCAAAACAAAAAGAATTATAAATAAAGCATAATTCAAAATTAAAAAACTAATATTAATTTAAAAATTAAATTCATATGGAGATATTCTCCCATATCCTTTCATAATGATCACTTCGTGTGGCATGTTCATCATCTATCTCATCTATATTCAAATTGAATAGTCCTGATGAGAAGGTATGAGTTTTAGAAATATCGAAGCATGTTTCATTCTTGTCATCACCATCAATAACTCTTTTTCCTTTGAAAGCTAATTATCAACTTTTATTTATTGAATCTTTGACATAGAAAACTTTTTTTGCTTGGTATGCCATAATAAATGGCTATTTCCCATAAGTTAATCTTCTAAGATCAACCAATGTAAATTCTAACTTGTCCTCTTGCATGCCATTGATATCAACCCACTTGCATTTGAAAACAGGTAGTCTAAATTTTGTATAGTCAACCTCCCAAATCTCTTTAATAATCCCAAAATAAGGCATAGATGTCATTTTTGGATTCTTATCTTTCTTACTTGAAAAGTGCATAGCTTCAGCCACTATCGTAGCTTTACTATTTTACGCAATACTCTTCTCATCAAAAGACTTTGTATAAAAGGAATAATCATTAATTTCATATGTACTTCAGCATATCACATCTACATTAGGACCATCTACTAACTATTTAATCATATAAAAAATGTTATATTCATTTAAGACTTTTTGTTTAAACTAATTTTGCAAAAATTCTATTGTACTCTTTCAAGAACATTTGTTCAGTCATCCTTAACCGGTTACATTCTACCCTTTGGCATACTTTTCCTAAATATTAGACATCCAAAAATGATAATAACAACAATTCTACATAAAAATAATGAAAAACTAATTAAACAATAATTAAAAATCAAACTAAAATTAAACAATAATTAATATATATAAATTAAAAATTAAAAGAAAAGAAAAGAAAGGGAGAATTATCTGGAGGAAAGAAGGAGGAGGAGCCAAGAGGGAAGGGGGAGGTCGAGTGATGAGGGGTAGAAAGGAGGAGGGGGAGGAAGGGACTTGGGGGAGAAGGGTCGAGATGGAGGGAGGTAAAGGGGAAGGGGCATGGTAGAGGGGGGAGGGAGTTGAGACAGGGGAAGGCAAGGGGAGAGGGGGCACAATGGAGGGATAGAGGGAGGGGGCACGACTGAGGTAGGGGGAAGGGGCCATGGAGATAAAGCAAATGGAGAGAGATGAAAGTGTGTGAGAGAAGACAAAGAATAAGGTGATTTTTTTTTAATATTTTGAAACACAATCAACAAGTGTCACTTCACTTGCTATTGAAAGTTTCAACAGCAGGTGACATGGTTCTTACTGTTGAAAGTGTAAAATTTTAATTTTTTTATTTCTCAACTTTCAACAGCGAGTGACTTGGCACTGACTCTTAAAGGTGTAAAATTTTATTTTTTTTTAAATTTTTTTAACATTGGTTGATATTAAAAGTATTTTCTACAATGTTTTAATTTTAAACTGATGTTGAAAGTCCTACAGTGGTAGTAAATATTATAAAAATGCCATCGTCTCTACTTTTAATAGTGGGTGCCTTTAATTGATATTAAAAGTTTCCTGTACAACACAAATTCTGCACTAGTGAATAGTGGTTAAATTTCTCCCTTTTGTGCATTATTAAAAAATAACAAAAATATCAAATTTTATTTTAGGTTATGCCATGAGTGATATTAAATTACTGTAAAACTTTAAAAACATTAAATGAGATATCATGAACGATATTAAGTTATTGTAGTTATCAAATTTTGTATAAAATTTCATAAGTAAATTATTTTATAGAAAATTCACTTTAAATTTTTTTTTTGGGATTTGTTATGAGTGATAAATTATCTTGTGTATTTAAAGTGTCAACTAGCGGATTGTGGGTGATACTAAATCACCACAGGTTTCAATATTGATTATTTTTCTCTTACCCAAAAGTATTTCCTTGAAAAAAATTTTATTTAAAAAATAAAGATAATAATATAACCCTAAATATCAATTATTTTTATAAAAGAAATTAATTAAAGGAATTTAAAAAACTTAAATAATAATATCCCGACCTCCGTGGATTTTAATTTTCATCACAGGGTATATAGACTCTAGGCTTTGATCCTAAATTAAGTCCTCTCATATGATTAAACAATGTGTTTTCATTAATTTTTTATCTTTATTTTTCATGTAATTAAAGGGTATTGAAGTTTTATATTTATTACTAAATCAAATTCCTCAACTAAATTTTATATTTAAACTCAAAGGACTACGTGGCAAGGGGGAAAAAAACCTCAAAAGAGTATAATTCAAAGGATTGCCTCGATACATTCTTGAAAAAATTATTTATTTTTTTACATCTATTTCATAAAATTTTATGATACCTATCTATTTTTTTAAATAATCAAAATCTGAAAAAATGCATTTTTGATTATGTTAAGAATTTATTTTAAATATCTCCTAAAAATAATTTGATATGACAAATGAGTGTGAATGTTATAAAAATATAGAGATACATGAAAATACTATATAAATTTAAACTAATTAAATAATGAATTATTTTTTATAAATAGAAACTCATGAAGATATTGTAAAGTCAAAAAAATAATTAAATAATAATTATTTTTTATTATTATAATTAAATATAAAATAATATCTATTTTAATTTTTTCCTTAAATTTAAGTTGACTTTGTAATCTGGGCCATATTTTTCTTTTTGGTTTCTTTCCAAATGATTTGGACAATATTTATTATCATAAAAAAAACGTGTTAGGTACCTCAATCCATTTGTTATCAAAATAAAAAAAGAGATTATGGCGCACGACGCCGCCGTCGGACTTTGCAATTTAAACGACACTGCGTTCAGCCTCCCTCTCCCCATTCCCCGCTAAAACATGCCTCACAGTTGCACGGGACAACGATCACCAACCCCATCTAGAAGGCCAAAAAAAGCAATTTTGAATAAAACGGGGGACGGCTTCGGTTTGTTTCTTCAGTTTCAGTCTCTCTATTTACCAGTTCATCTTCAAAACTTTACTACTTTTCTCTGCATCTGCATCTCAACCTGCATTGAAGCCCGCCTTTAATCTCTGAACCCTAATTGCCAATCTTATTCTTTTTTCCTAATTCAGTTTTCAATCTGACCCGTCAACCATGATCAGATCCTCGTAGAATCCGAATGCTGCTTCCAGGTCAATTCCCAATCTTTCGTTCATATTGCAGTTGATCCTTGATCACAATGTCTTGGGGATTGGGCTGGAAGAGACCCTCGGAGATCTTCCGTCTCACGCTCAACTATGGCACCGAGGAGCCTGCGGAAATTCCAGGCCACAACTCGTCCTTATCTCGTTCGTCGTCTGCTTCTTCACATTCTTCCTCTTCCTCAACACTCTCGCAGGAACAGGAACTTGGGTTTCGTATTGACCTGGATTGGTCTGCATCAGAGGATGACGATCAGGTGGCTTTGAAGCTTCAATCGCAACTCATGGTGGCGCTGCCGTTGCCACAAGATTCCGTGGTGGTTGAATTGAAGCCTGGTGATCGTGAAAATGTGGATTTGGATATGAAGGTGGTGAAGAGACGGGAGCCTCTGAAGGCTATCACAATGACCAAGGCTATTGGCTCTGGGCAACAGAGCGATGGGACTGGAGTATTGACACGCTTGATACGGTCCAATTTGTCTCCCTTAATGCCCACGATTGGAGAGGGGATTGGAGGTTGCGGTGACCATTGGAGGAGTATATCTGTGCTCAGTATTTGTGGCTGTAACTTGTCGGTGAGTGTCTTTAGCTTAAAAGTTTTGAGTTTTCATGTTAAGTTTGCGACTTTCTTGCTATATCCATTTTTTATGCATCTTTTATTTCTGTTTTCCTTTGGATGATTTACGTGTCTTCGTTTTGGCTTTAACTTGTAGACAATGGCAATAGTAGGCCTTTGCAATGTACTTTTCTGTGTCTTGTATGTTTGTCGTGTTGAGGAATTGGAGCTCCAGGATGGACAAGTTCTTAATAACGCTACAACTCCTGGCATTTGAATTTTATAACTCCCCAATTGTTGGAAAGAGGCACCAATAACGGTTCCTTACAATTCTTAATAACCCCAGAAATCTTTCGTTTATAGTGCAAAAAATGTAAGGAACCGTTAGTGGTGCCTCTTCCTAACATTTCTGGCGTAGCAACAACTGAAAGAAATTGCATGGTTTTGATTCGCCTTCTCCCTCCACCCTCCTTGAATGTTTAAGAAGCACTTTGGTTTCTATTTTCAGTTTGAACTTGGAAGTGAGACTTAATTGAGTTGCATCAGGGATGTTTTTAAATTCATTACTCATTTACAGGTATTTCCGGTAGAGCTTACTCATTTGTCACAACTTGAGAAGCTTTATCTTGATAACAACAAGCTGACATTCTTGCCATCTGAGCTTGGTGATCTGAGAAGATTACAAGTGCTCAGAGTTGACAACAACATGCTTGCGTCAGTACCTGGTGAGACTTTCGTGTCATGAATACTACCTTGAAAGAATGGTAGTCTTTTTCTTACTTTGAGAGACTGTATTGTTTACATGTTTTTTAATAAATACACCGAGCATTCACGTGCAAACAAATGAATGTTTTAGCTTCTAGGGTCATAAGATAAATGTTCTTGAAAACATTTCCATTTATCTGATGTTTATGGTATCTTTTAGCAGTGGAATTGAGACAGTGTGTTCAGTTGGTGGAATTGTCGCTGGAACACAACAGGCTTGTTCGACCTCTTCTAGACTTCAGGTTGTTCTATTAGGCAACCTTGTATTGATTAGTTTGAATCCATGTATTCTTTTGTTTTTATTGTTATCCTATATTTATGGCAGGGCTATGGCTGAACTACAAGTCCTTAGGTTATTTGGAAATCCTCTTGAGTTTCTTCCTGAAATTTTACCACTCCACAAACTTCGCCACCTTTCTCTTGCAAATATCAGGGTTGTGGCAGATGAAAATTTAAGATCAGTAAATGTGCAAATAGAGGTAGATATGGAAAACTGACATGAGTATCTATTGCCGTTATTCTTTTGAACATATAAAATATTTAGTGAAATGCGCATTTTCTGGTGATTGCAGATGGAAAACAGTTCTTATTTTATTGCATCTAGGCATAAGTTAAGTGCCTTCTTCTCTCTTATATTCCGATTTTCTTCTTGTCATCACCCTTTGCTAGCCTCTGCACTTGCAAAGATAATGCAAGATGAAGGAAATAGAGTGGTTGTTGGTAAAGATGAGAATGCAGTGCGGCAGCTTATAAGCATGATCAGTAGTGATAACCGTCATGTGGTATGTTTAACAGTTCTAGATGTAATAATCCACTTATTTGATTTTCCATCTTAGGTGGTTGTGCTAATTCTTTTAACACTTTTTTTTTTTTTTTGGTTTTTAACAGGTTGAGCAAGCTTGTTCTGCTCTTTCTGCTCTTGCCTCAAATATTCCTGTTGCATTGCAACTAATAAAATCTGATGTTATGCAGCCCATAGAATCAGTTCTCAAATCTATGGGTCGGGAAGAGGTAATATCAGTATTACAACTTGTGGTGAAGCTGGCATTTATATCTGATACTGTGGCCGAGAAGATGTTGACAAAAGATGTATTGAAATCATTAAAATGTTTATGTGCCCGAAAAGATCCGGAGGCAAGTTGACTAGTCTCTTTTGGCTTGATTTGATTGGTTGCCTTGTATTGCATGATCCTTTGTTTTAAGGACTATCTCTCTATCATCTGTAGGTACAAAGGCTTGCTCTGTTGGCTATTGGGAATTTGGCCTTTTGTCTGGAGAATCGGCGCATTCTTGTTTCTTCTGAAAGCTTGCGAGAGCTTCTCCTGCGACTGACGGTTGGTATGGATCCACGTGTGAATAAAGCTGCAGCTCGTGCTTTGGCAATTCTTGGTTCGTCTCTAGATTTATGTCATTTTTTTTATTCCCTTTCTTTTGTTTGATATTATGAGCATCATATTTTGACTTTCAACTTGATTAAGTGAATGCTGGCAGGAAAACCTGATAAAAGATCATGTTTCTTCTTTCTGTGTTTTGTAGGAGAAAATGAAAACCTTCGGCGTGCAATAAGAGGGAGACAAGTGGCAAAGCAAGGACTTCGCATACTATCAATGGATGGGGGTGGAATGAAAGGTCTAGCGACTGTGCAAATTCTAAAGGAAATTGAAAAGGGAACTGGAAAGAGAATACATGAACTGTTTGATTTAATATGTGGCACATCAACTGGTGGGATGCTAGCTGTTGCTCTCGGAATCAAGTTAATGACTTTGGAAGAATGTGAAGATATATACAAAAATCTTGGTGAGAGTGCTACCAAGGAATGGCATGTACTGATTATTTTTATTATCATCAAATTGTTTGTTTTCCAAGAAATAGTAGATAAAATGTTTGATGACTTTTTGGATCAGGAAAACTTGTTTTCGCTGAACCTGTGCCCAAGGATAATGAAGCTGCAACTTGGAGAGAGAAGTTAGATCTACTTTATAAGACTTCGTCGCAGAGTTTTAGAGTTGTTGTTCATGGATCAAAAGTATGGAACTCTTTCTTTTGGGTTGCTGCATTTTGCAAAGTCTGTTAGTATTGCAGTTTTTAGCATTTCCTACATTTCTCAGAAGCTTGTGAGATACTTTAGGCCTTTTTTAAACTTCCTGACTGCATATCTTGATGTGGTCTCAATGATATGGATGCCATCTGAATCGTAGGGGGAATGTGCTATATAGCAAATTACTTGTGTTTAAATAAATACATAGCACATTCATGTGACTATGGTATGGGATGGGAAGAGTCAAAGAATATGTTTATTTATTTTTTTTTTTCCTTTTTCTTTTGGGAGGTGGGGTGGGATGGGTTCGAGTGAATGTATGGGGAGAGTCAAGGAAGGTGAGGGGAGTGGATTGAGAAGTGGGAAGAAGTTGAAAGAAAAATGAAGAGACTTAGAACTAGGCAAGTGAGTGGCGGGATTAGGGCAGGGAGAGAGAAATTTGTGAAAATCTCAAGAGGGGAATTGAGTTTAAGAGAAAAAATGGAAAATTTGGAAGGACGAAGAAATTCAGTGTATATTTGCCATAACTTCGAAAGGGAATAACAGATTTATGGGATGGGAAGTGTATATTAATTCTATAAAATGCAAGTATCAGATAGTAAATGCAAAGTTAGTTGAATAATCACATAAATTTTGTACTTATTGAATAAATGTGGTCAGGCAATGAATTTATAATGAATTACATGTGAAATTTTCTATTAATTAGTTTAAACTTTTAATATTTGTACTGAATCAATATGTAAGTGTACATAGTACTTATTATATATGCATTTGTTAATCGTGATATCATGTGTATTCTTTTTAATATGGATTTTACAAATGATAAGTTATGTTCTTTGGGAGTTTTAGCAATTATTTTTTTGAACATTTGTGTAAAATGGATTTTACATTTTTTTTTTTGAACATTTTATGCACCTTTTGAAAATACTATAGCTGCAATAACCGTAATGCAGTCACAATTTCAATTTAAAACTGAGAGGGACCAAGATAGTATGAGATCTCAAATCTCAGATTAAGTAATGAGTTTCTCAATGGGATGCTCAAGTATAATGGTTCTTCCAACTCAGTCTTTAACTTTAGGGGAGGGTTACCCCCCTTTCTTGAGTGCTTACTATTTAATATCGGGGTCAGTGATCAGTATCTTTGGAATGGGCTACTTGCAGAGGGTTTTGATTGGTGAATAGCTAAGTGTTGCAGAAAATAGTCATAGGGATGGCAGCTTTCCAAGGGCAGCTAATTCATAGGGATGAGACTATGGAATGCTTAATTCCAAGTTGTATGGGATGCTCACTGTTGTCCTTATCTCTAACATTAATAGCTAACTTTTGAGGAGGATTCCCTAATCTGCTTGGGTGTCTAGTAAAACCCATGCTTTAGAATATCAATTCTTCTTGGCAGGATAGCTTGTGCTTTCAAATACTCCTTCCAGTCCAAAATAGAAGTAGTTTTTAGGAAAAATCCGTGTACCAATAAAGACCCCATTCACATAAAAAATATATATATATATATATATTGTTTTCCACTTTTATCCCTAGTGCTAATTACCAATACACTCCATGATGAGTGAGAGATACATTTACACAAAGATCTAGGTTAATAAATACAAGGGGTAAAATGGGGAAAACATTGTTACAAGGTTGTTTATATTTTGAACTAAGATTAGTTGAGAGGAAATGCTTATATTTTAGACTGGAAGGAGTATATAAAATACAAAACCTTCTTCTAACCCCCTTTCCAAAAAAAAAAAAAAAAGCCAGTGGCTATTTTACAAACATATGTATTTAATTCTGTGCCGTAAAGGGAGACATTATGACTTATTGTCTTGCAGCACAGTGCAGATCAGTTTGAGAGACTGTTAAAGGAAATGTGTTCTGATGAAGATGGGGATCTAATGATAGACTCTGCTGTGAAAAATGTGCCGAAAGTTTTTGTTGTATCAACGTTGGTGAGCATGATGCCAGCACAGCCTTTCATATTCCGTAATTATCAGGTGAGAGGCCAAGTTTCTTATTGCTGTGTTTATATTGGTGACTGGATGAAACATCTTGGCCAAGAAACAAGGGTGTCAAATCTTATTTCTTCCTGGTTGTTAATGTATTATATTGTTGAAGTCTTGTTCTCTTTCTTCCTCTAATTTGTTACATGCAATTAGTATCCTGCTGGAACACCAGAGGTACCTCTCGCAAGTGCAGAGAATCCAGGGGCCAATGTAATAGGGTCACCTACAACGGGTGCTCAATTTGGCTACAAGCGCAATGCTTTTATTGGAAGTTGTAAGCATGAAGTGTGGCAAGCTATCAGAGCCTCATCTGCTGCCCCTTATTATCTTGATGATTTCTCAGATGGTACGATTTTTCTACCTTTCTCAGAACTGAGTATCTAGTATTTAGAGCTTTATTTAGTTTTTCCTTTTTCTTTAACATTTTTACACCTTTTTTTGTCCTGCTATAATACTTAAGATGTCAACCGCTGGCAAGATGGTGCAATAGTGGCAAACAATCCTACAATTTTTGCTATCAGAGAAGCACAACTTTTGTGGCCTGACACAAAAATTGACTGTTTAGTTTCAATAGGGTGTGGTTCTGTTCCTACGAAGGTAATTGCCCTTCTGTGTGTTAATTCTTCTAAGATATTTCAGAGTAAGATTTTTTATGTGGATACTATCATCCTGAAAGCAGTCCCTCAATGTTCTGTATTTGGGTAAAGATCAAGGTCTTTGATGGTAACCCATGTGCTTCCCGCCACATTTCCTTCTACAGTTTTATCAATATAAGAAATTATAATATGTGAAGTGAATCTGGAATTTTGATTTTATGTTATATGTTTTTGGATTATGAGGCTGTTGAGCTACTGTATAATTTAATATTATATTTTGAGACTATTATAGTTGCGGAAAGGTGGTTGGCGGTATCTAGATACAGGGCAGGTGTTGATTGAGAGTGCGTGCTCTGTTGATCGAGTAGAGGAAGCCTTAAGTACATTGCTACCTATGATTCCTGAGATACAGTATTTTCGTTTTAATCCAGGTATGAAGTGAGTTTATAGTGTGAAAAGGAAAGAATCTCCCATTTTTACATAACTAATTCTGATCAAATAAGGTTTAAGCAATGTGGTTTTTCCTGAATTTTTTTACTTCCTTTCTTTTCCTTTCTTTCTAGAGAAGTATCCATGGCAAGTAGTTCATTTTGGAGAGAACTTTGACTCCTGAACCCTGATCAGCATTTTCTGGCTTGTTTTTCAGTTGATGAGCGTTGTGATATGGAGCTGGATGAGACAGATCCAATGGTCTGGAAGAAGTTGGAAGTTGCAGTTGATGAATATATTCTAAAGAATAACCAAGAATTTCGAAATGCCTGTGAGAGACTGCTTCTACCTTTCCAACATGAAGAGAAGTGGTCAGAGAATCTTAAATCTAAAGTGAAGACAAAAGAGGGTATTGCTGCTGATAAGTTGTCTATTTGCTTAGTGTAATATTTTACCTCTGGTGATCCCTAATTAAAATGAGTCTTTCCTATTCTCCTTTACCAGGTGCTAGTGGCCCCACTTTAGGTTGGAGGCGTAATGTACTACTTGTTGAAGCTTCACAAAGTCCAGATTCCGGCAGAGCGGTGCACCATGCCCGGGCACTTGAATCATTTTGTGCTCGTAATGCAATACGATTATCCGTTATGCAGGGATTTTCTGGGAATGTGAAGACAGTGCCAGGAACATCATTGCCAACGCCATTTGCATCACCTCTGTTTGGAAGCTTTCCATCAAGTCCACATGTATATAGTCCTGATATTGGTCAAAGGATTGGACGAATTGATCTGGTCCCACCTTTAAGTTTAGATGGTCAACTAGGAAAGGCAGTTGCTTCACCTCCAATATCTCCTCGAGGACTTAGACAGCTTTCTCTGCCAGTCCGATTGTTGCACGAGAAACTGCAGAACTCTCCACAAGTGGGTGTCATACATTTGGCTCTTCAGAATGACTCAGATGGCTTAATTATGAGGTATTTGTTCCTTTATATTCTGAATTTCTTATCATTGGCTCCCATTCTTTTTCTCTATTTGGATGGAGGCATGATATTGGGGTCTATTTAGTTGGCACAATGATGTATTTGTGGTGGCCGAACCTGGAGAGCTTGCTGAAAAATTTCTCCAGAATGTAAAATTCAGTTTATTGTCAACAATGAGGAGCCATCGCAGAAAAGGCGCATCACTCCTTGCCAATATCTCTACTGTTGCTGATTTAGTTGCTTTCAAGCCTTATTTCCAAATTGGAGGCATTGTTCATCGTTATCTAGGCCGTCAAACCATAGTATGCCTCCTTCCCCTTATGATTTACTACTGTTTTTTCTATTTGAATTAATAATCCGTATGAAATTTATCCAAAATTTCTTTTGAAGGTTATGGAAGATGATGAAGAAATTGCATCATACATGTTTCGTAGGACAGTCCCCTCTGTGCACGTAACACTTGATGATGTTCGATTGATGGTAGGTGCTTTGCTTCTATTTGATTTACAATCTTTCCGTCTCTGAATTCTGGAGCTTCACCCAAAGTATTAAACATAATCTGTCTTATCTGCTGCCACCCAATTTTTAACTTCAATCGTTTGTTGAATGAGGTATGGTATATTAATTGCTGGATTCTACGGGAGTTATTTCTTTCCACTGCAACAAGTATTGGAAGAATAATGGCCAATAATTATTGCATTGTATTGCACCTGGCACTCTTATGGCTTAATATGCCAATCATTTTTTTCTTGAGGAATTATTTGAATTGCCAGCATAGCATGGTGCCTTATATCATTGTAGATATTGGAGCAAACAATTTACCAAGCTCAGATACCATCTAAGGATTTTTTTCGGGGGTTAAAAAAAAAATGACAGAATTTTGAGCAACACCACCAATCGAATTTCATTTAGACTGTGATCCATCAATTGAAATTATTCAACTATGGTGCCTTGATTTAATATGCAACCATTCTCTTTGCATACTTCACTGGGAATGTGGGGAGAAACTTGTACATCTAATAAGAGGGAATAATGATGTTATGTCTAAAGAAGAGCACTAGCATTACTGTTTCAGTGTGTAAGTTCTTAATGCATTTTGTTATGATGTCGCTGTATAACTGCATTTTTCATGGGTGAGGTGAAGGGGAGTCAGAGAGATCATAAACGGAGTATGAAGATTAGATGCTGTGTCATGTTTAATTATACCATATACATGAAAAATTGGGTCTCATCTTTGTTGTATTATTGATGTTCTTGATTAAGCTAGGTTGGAGCATGGAGAGACAGGATCATAATATGCACGGGGACTCTGGGACCTGCTTCAACTCTTATTAAGGCCTTTCTGGACAATGGTGCCAAAGCTGTGATATGTCCATCAAGTGAACCCAAGGAGTCTCAGATGACATCCCTTGATGGTGCCGGTTGGGAGGTGAATGTATCGGAAAATAGCAAGTTTGAGATCGGAGAGGATGATGCAGAAGATGAGAACGAACCTGCCAGTCCTCTAAGTGATTGGGAAGATATCGACAATGAGAAAAATTTGGACCGGAATGTTTGCTTTTGGGAGGATGATGAGGAAGAAGTGTCACAATTTGTATGTCAGTTGTATGATTCCTTGTACCGGGAGGGTGCTAGCGTCAATGTTGCTCTGCAACACGCTCTTTCCTCACATCGAAGATTGGGGTATGTGTGCCATCTCCCCACCATACAATAATTTGATTACTTCATCTTTACAGTCTACACATAAATTAGGAAAACAAGAAACAGAAAACAAAACTAGAGGGGGAGAGGGGGAGTTTACGACAGAAAGATAGGAAGCAAGAGAAGGAACGTGTTTATATGAGGGAGTTGCATTGGATATCCAAATTTTGAGGCTGACTAATACATTTATCTTCTGATGATCATTGATTTATGAAATAGAAATTGATTAGTCTATTTTTTCCCCGCAGTTATACTAAGGTCAAGTTTATATAACGCGTGGATTTTTTTTCCCCCCTAACGAAGTAGAAATTCTACGGTTGGATTGTAAATGATGTACACGAAACGAGTATTGGCAAGCCCCTCAAGTTTTTGTAATTTTCTTTTCGAGTCTCGGTCTTACAATCATACTACCGTATTAGTTATATTTGACCATGCACTGTTCCTTGGAGTTGCATAGGAACCCGGAAATTGTCCTCTTAACAGGAGCAATCTTGGAGGTTAGAGGACGTAAAGCTGACTAAAAAATATATATATATAAGGGATGTCTAAGCCATACAAAAAGTAGAACAAGCTGAAGCAACTTGTCCAAAGTTGAAGAGGCATTCTTGGCAAGCCAATTGATTCAACTTTTAGGTTTTTGATAGACGTGCTGTAAGTTGGTGTTTCAGTCTAATGCCACGAGTTACCTAATTTCGTTGAACACTTTCCAAGGGAAGTATTGCTACATTATCTCAGAGCACTTAATTAATTGTGCCTAAATTGAATCGCCAATGATCATCTCGCTACAGAACCCTCTTTCTAACACAAGCCCTTTAAGGATACCCCTCAATTCTGCAGCAATGCAACTGATATTCCCAAGCTTTCTGATAAATCTTTTAATGCAATTCTCCCATTGATCCCGAATAATAACACCACATGAAGCCTTTTGTGTCTGATTAACCGGCTATCAACATCAAGACGAATATGATTCGGACAGAAATTCCTTGCTGATGTGCTTCAGTCTAGCCTGATTTTGAAGCATGCCAGTAAGGAATTTCCAGTATGTTGATGGAATAGGTTGAGGTATGATATGCTCTATCTTGACAGCATATTAAAGAGTAAAAGACCGAACTGACATAGGACATCACATGCTGAAAAAAAGTTGTTTAGCATCTTTCAATCGTTGGCAACCAAAAGCACATTTGCTCGGGGACTTCTGCTTGAGATTCTCTGCTACACAAAGCACTGTCTTTGGAGTACCTATACCAGTCTGTCTTCATATTTGTATTTGTACTTAACTATTTGTTTAAAGAATAAATTACACTATTCATTGATTTATATAATCCTTTTTACTATAAAATTTATATTATACCATTTTCGTTCAAATACAAAGCATTTCTTTGAAAATCGTATGTTTCAATATTTAAATTATTTTAAGAATTTTAAAAACAATTAATATCTTTTTACTTAAAATGCTCATAAGAGTGTATTGAGATTACATTCCTTTGTTTCATTAATATGGTCCATTTTCATGCATCAAATAAGGATAATTTTTTTTAAAAAAAAAGAAATTTTAACTGCCTGACTACTTTTCTTGATGTGGGTGAGTAAGGGGAAAATACGTTGTAGTTCAAACCGACGTAATACGTTAATATTTTGAAGTTGGGATAAGATGATTGATGAGGGAAACAAAACTTTTCCGGTGACTTTTTAAAAATACTCCAACGTTCAAAATCATTAAACAAGGTAACTTAGCATGAATTTCCTAACTATTGAATTCCCTGACTTCAATAATGGGAGTGTCCTATTCAATTACTGCCAATTACCAACATGATTTCAGTCACTAAGGATGAATGAACGTGCATAAAGTTGGCCTTCATGAAAAATATTACACCATGTCCTCTTTCAAATGATCTTTTTTTTTTTAAAAAAAAAAAGAAAATAATTTAAAGTAAAACAATCATATTACATATATAAGCAAAAAAGAAAAATAAGGATCCCATGCCCTAAAAGCACCGAACTCCTCTCTTCCCTTTATCCATGGCATCAGGCATGAAAGGTGGACACTCACTTTGACCCCAACACACTTAACATCACGAGAAAGAAAACTCAGTGCTTCCTCACATTTAAAATCGTTTTCCATCATATTAATAATTGCATCCTTTTTTTTTGTGAGATAATTGCATCCTGATTTTTTTTTTCACTGAGTTATTTGTTAAACTCTTTTATTAATGAACACACACACACACTATACTCATACTGTTGAATTGCAAAAAATATTTATTTGTCTTTATTAAAAATTTGATAACAATCTGTTGAATAATTAAGGTTATTAAAAACTTTTATTATAAATGAAGTTTGCTAATTGTGTATTGTGAATCTAGGATCAATCAAACTAATTGTGTTGTTTGCAAAAGAAGCAAAGGAGTTAATGACCTGAGAAGTCAAAAGGGCATATAAAGTGAACAAGGCCTCATTCATTGGAGGAACCAGGAGGAATTTCATGATCATGTCGCTTTTTCTTTCTCTCTTTCTTTTCTTTATTCTTTCCTCTAAAGTTCCAATCAGGATTGGAAATTTCATGCTTTCAATAAAGCATTTTCAGCATATACTATTTAATTAATATTAAAAGATGAGCTGGGCGTGATGCTTCAAATTGAAATTGTATATTTGAACTCATCATCACTGCCTCTTTTTTTCCCCTGATGGTAACTCTTTTTTTGGTCCAGAATCATCTTTTATGAAGGACTGTAATATAATAAGAATACTGCACAAAGTAAACGGGTAACAAACTAAACAGCACATTCCCACAATCCTAAAATATACAAGAAAAAAACTTCTTTTTACTATAGAAAAAAAAAATTCACCATGTTAATGCACTATAAAAGCAGAGGCGGAGGTAAACAAAATTCAGAGAAACTGAGATGGGAACTCCTCCTCCAGCGGCGATAGGAACCAGGGGCACGGTCGGATCTCTGGTGAGGAAGGAAATTGAATACTTCACCATGTTTGAGGTAGAGAGACGAGGATGTCGTTCTCAGAGACAACCTCGTACACAAGCTGTGGACCAGGTTTCTGCAAGAGGATTTTCTAGTTGCAGACCCAGTTTCTGGGTGGCTCTAATGACCTGGAAGAGGAAGAAGCGAAGATTCTCAAGTGGATTCCTCCCAAAAATCTGTTCTGTTCCTGAAGTAGCAGAGACCAATCATCTAGACAGAATCCCAGGTTTTAGCTACAGGATCCTCAGTAATGACATCAACAACTTCGGAGACTGCAAGGATTGTGTGACATGAGATGATTATATAGATATCTCTCTTTAGTTTTGAATGAAACTCACAAGATATCTGTGACAGCAATTTAACAAAGGTGAATTGGAGTTTGTCCAGTAATTTTATTGTGGTTGCAATCTGAAATCAGTGCTGGAGATTGTTGTGGATATTGCAGCCAACAAACAAGACTGAGGATCATATATCAATTTGGCTTTCATTACTCTACTCTTGTTCTCTAATCTTTATTTTAGATCGCACATATCAAAAGAATTTTCTCCAAGATTTGTTAGAGCATGGCGTTAACCAAAACAAGAGCAGTACAGACACAAATCATCAACAAAAGGTTAATTTATTATTTTTTATAAACAGGACTAGAATACAACTAAGCACACTGATCTCTGCAACACTCTTGTTTTTTTTTTTTCCTTTTGTTCATTTTCTTTAGTGTGAATAAAGTTCTTGAGTCACCCACGTTAGATGATATTGCTACAATTGTTGATGGCCTGCACTTGAACTTCCAGCCCAGTGATGATGTTGATGGCCAACACTTGAACTCCCAACCCTGTGATGTTGTTGATGGCCTACACTTGAACTCCCAACCCTGTGATGTTGTTGATTGTCTACACGTGAATTTCCAAACCTTTCATGTTGTTGATAGTCTACATGTGAACTTCCAACCCTAAATGATTCAACGTGGCCTGCTATTTTTACAGATTCTTCTTTATTATATTGAGGATCATCTTCTTCACCATTTACTGGGAGTGTTATATGCTGAAGGGCTGTTACTACATCACTCATCAAAGGTCTTGTGTCTGCTTCTTCTTGCAGACACATGGCTGCCACTGCGAGTGCTTTGAAAAGTCCTTTCACTGGGAAGTTATCCTTCAGCAATGGATCTGCCATTAGTGTGAACTTCTCTCTGTCTTCAAGCAGTGGCTGTGCCTGCATCATCAACAATGTCTTCACAACCTCAAATTTTTATAATAACTACATGTGGGTATTGCATGAAGTTTGAAAAATGAGCTGCGCTTTTCATGACTCAGAGACAGTGCAGTTTCTTGTTATTTTGTACGGTGATGCTAGGAGGTTGATTTTGATTCAGTGTGTATCGTTGGTAGGGTGTTGTGTGAATTGTTTGATGACATGTGAGATAACAGCTTTAGAATTACCTCATGCTCAAAGAGCTAAAAATGAAATGATAAAAGACCCTTTATACTGGTTAAAATAACAATTTGGATCTAATAACATTATAAAACTAATTTGGATTTTTTGAAATGACTTCCTAATTTTATATGAAGTGAGGAGAGAGATAGACAAATGATTATAATAATATCCACTGTTGAAATATTAAATAGGGAGAATGACAGGTAAGGACCTTATAAGAAAGTTAATGTCAAATTAAAAATTTTAATACTGAAATATAGGAAAAGGAATAGTAAATTTTAAAACTTTAATATTAAAGAAATCCTAATTTGATATGAACTTTTTTTTGGAGTTCTTTTTTATCATTTTCTATATAGAATATAGGTCCCACAAAAGTGAGGCCTATGTTTTGTATTTATTTCTCTCTCCTTACTCTATATGAATTTAGTTTCAAAAGATTGGATGATCAGGGAGAACGCATATATGAGTTCCATTTAAGGGAAGAACAATAAATTAAAAAGACATAATGCAGGGGGAAAAGAAAAAAGATGGAAATTAAACATACCCAATCGATAAGATTTTGCTCTTCTTCTGCTCTAGAAGTATCATAGACTCTTCTTCCGGTGATGATCTCCATTAACACAACTCCAAAACTATACACATCTGACTTTGTGGTGACACGCCCAGTCAAAGCATACTCGGGTGAACAGTACCCATATGTCCCCATCACCCTGGTGGAGACGTGATCCTTGCCTTCCTCTGTTGGTCCCATCTTGGCCAATCCAAAATCTGACAGCTTGGCATTAAAGTTCTCATCTAACAATATGTTTGATGCTTTCAAGTCTCTGTATATTATCGGTGGATCTGCTTCTTCATGCAGATACTCCATGCCCCTCGCTGCTCCTTCTGCTATTTTCATTCTCGTAGCCCAATCCAGTCCCTCCTTATCTGGCTCTAAATCTGACGTTGAATATAAAATATATATACATGTGAGTGTGTGTCACCTGGTTAATAATAATGCACACATATATATGAGATATAGTTCAACTAATTACAGGTTATTATTATAAGAATGTTGTTGGGGGTACTATATATTACCTAGAAGGTGACTTTCGAGGCTGCCATTGGCCATCAATTCATAAACTAACATCCTTTGATCTCCTTCAATGCAATAACCTATGAGCCTGACGAGGTTGGGATGCTTCACTAGACTCAACGTTACTACCTCTGAAAAGAATTCTCTACTTCCTTGCATTTTATTCCTGTCCAGTCGCTTCACAGCCACAGCCTGTAAACATTCCAACATGTACAACTTTTACTGGTTAACAATCATGATCGGTCTCATACAATATCTGACACACACAAGTGTTTGAGAGGGAGAGGGAGAGAGAGACTTGGTCAATGCTTTGTATGTATCCTTTGTAGACACTGCCAAAACCACCTTCGCCAATCAAACATTCAGAACTGAAGTTGTCAGTTGCGGAGGCGAGTTCTTGGATTGTGAAGACTCGAGCATTGTTCTTCGCTGTTCCATATTTTCGTATCTCAGCAGTAATATGTTTTTGTCTGCTGCTACCTGCACATGCATTAAAGAAATGTTTCCATTTTTACAATGCTTTAACTTGCTTCTATATATTCCTCTTGTTACGAATCATTCCTCTTATTTTCTGGGGATAGGTCATTTTGATGGCTATGTTTAAAAATTTAATTAATCTTTAAAACCTTTGACGAGTTAGGTATATATATTTTTTAATCTAGCATCCCCTGATCAAATTCTTTTAAACAATTCTTATTGCGATAAAAAAAACCTCAAGGATGTGATATTGCAAGGAAATAAAAAGGGCCGAGTAATTTTCTGTACCTGTTTTGGAAGAGAGAGCCCCCAAAAAAGATTTGAATGTGGATTTCCTGGATTGTGCATATTCCATGGGACTTTTGTTCAGAGGAACAGTTTCAGCCTCAGGCTTATTGCAGCATGGGAAACAATCCATTTTCTTTCTCTCCTGGTGCAAACCCTTTTGAAATCCTAAATCGTTGCAATGACACGTAAATATGAATATGAACTCTCTTAATTAAAACCTAATTATCAAACGCAACCACAATCTGAAAAGGTTGCAGGCTTGAAGATGATCGATGATCATCAGAAGCTGCTGTAAGGTCATGCTAGGATAGGGTTAGGGTGAGATTTTATTCGACTCAAATTCGGTTTGACATCTGTGTTTAATTCGTTGGTTGCCAAAAATGGATGCCAATTTTTAGTTGTTGGGCTGTTTCATGTTAAATTTGATGATTTGATGCTTATGGTGTCAATGCACAGGAGAGAGCTCTTGTGTTAGTTTATTTAGTTGTGCATATTGCAAATTACAAAGCATGACAATTTGGTTATGTCCTGCTATTATACTAATTATGTAGACTATAGATGTAGATGATAAAGCACGGGGATGCACCTGTGGATAAAAATGGATTGTATCAATATTTTGGCCTAAATCAAGTATTTAGTTTCGACCAAAAATATATATTTAGTACTTGTCAACCACTAATTATCTTAATGATAAATTGACAGCGTCACATTTCTTATTTAAAAAAAGTTTCAATTGAAACCTAATATTATCATATGTTCTTTACAAATAATAAAAAATATCAAGAGTGTCAGATATGTTAAATCTCAAAAGATAACAAAAATTTTTTAAGCTTCCTTATTACAATTTACTTAATGTAAAAATATAAAGAAATCAAAATAAATAAGTATTTGATAAGTAAATGTGCAAATTGCAAGATTGTAAATGTTACAAAGCTAAAAATGATTTTAAAAACTATCTGAAAATACATAGCAAAAATGCTAAAAGTATTAATGGATGTTGATAATTGATTACACGTGTCTTTTTTGCAATGCTCCTTTTATAATGTTTTGGTTGAGATCATTACCCCACAAAATCCAAAGCTTTTTCACAAAATATCAAGAATTCATTAATATTACCCATGAGACTTGTGGCACGATATATCATATCCCTTCAACAGTCTCATTTGTTTAGTCATCCCAAGTTTTAATGTCTAAGTTAGGCTCGTGCATGATACTTTCTTCTTTTATAGTAATGGATTGAGTTATATTATTTAAGCTGATTGTGTTTTTATCTTTAGTCTTTTTTATTGGGCTGTCATTTTAATTTTAGACCCAAACAATAGGTTTATGTAAATGTGTGGGCATGTAAGTAATCCTTCCATGGAGGATTGGTTTAAGGACAAAATTTTAAAAAAACAAGTATCTTGTAATTTTGGCCAAGTCATGAAATTAAAATCACTTTTTTGAATTCATTTTTTAGAATTATAATCAAGTTCTTTAAAAATTAATTTTTATATGAATTTCAATAAGATCATATTTTTTCCTTTGAAGATAATAAAATTTTATAGATTCTTATGTTTCTTTTTGGGAAAAAAAATGTAACTACTAGATATTGAATCAAATGAGTAAAGATTTGTCTAATGTAACTGAGCTCAATTCAAACTAACTAGATCTATGTTGATGTTGAATGAAACTAAATATACAATCAAAATAATGACACTAAATTAGTCTATAATCCACTGTTAAGAATAAATATAATTTTTTTCCTTTTATTTTATTTATTTTAAAACTTTTACATCACATAGTAAATAATATTAATCAAAGATTAAACTAAAATTAAAGTAAAAAATGTTGGGATGAAATTGATGGTGATTAGAGATTTATTAAACTACTATTTATGAACATAAATTTATGTAGAATAATATATTTTCAGGATAACTATAATTAATTATATTTGAGCATTTAATATATACTGAAATAAAATAATTTTAGTTTCTTTAAGAAATTAATAAAAATAAGACGAAAAAATATTAATAAAAACATTAGATTATAGGCAACAATATAAATCATAATAATGGGTTTGTAAAACCAAGAAGGATCGGAGGCAGTTTATATTTCAGAAAATGCTATTGAGATGAAAAGGCTTGTTGATCATTGTTGTAATGGGCCCTAGGCTGTAAAACTACAAATGCAGCTTCCTTTCCTTGCATCTTATTGAAAAAAACTGTTTTTTTTTTAATTTATTATTATCTTATCCATGTCTTTTATTTATAGTTATGATCTTATCCATAGCATTCATTCTTTATATTTGAGAAATATATTTTTTGTTCTTACTCCCAAATCTTTACCAAATAGTAACAAGCTAATCCTGTTCCTTTAAATTCAAGCAACATTCATTTTAAAATTTATTTACAAAAAGTAATATATCGTTGTACTACTTTTAAATTTAGTCTATCTAAAAAGTAGTAGCAGTTGTGTTTTTTTTTTTTTGGTGAACGTATAGTTTATTATTATTATTATTATTATTATTATTATTTTTGTCTTCATTATTTCTAATAAAATGAGTGTATTCAGGTCAGACTTCAGAGACTGGCCTGGAAAAAGAAAAGTATAGAGCTCAGGTCACCGCTGACAACAATGCGTTTAAGAAACTCTTAACACGTATCACTTGACCAACGACACCAGCCAACACTAGCTTCGCCCACTTGGACAAACTACAACATCACACGTGTCGTCCTTCTTCTTCCTAAAAGTCTAAACCCCTTCAAAACCTAATTTCACGTAAGAGGCTTCGCTCTTCGGAGCTGCCAATTTCTGAATCGCATTTTCAAGAATGCCTCGACGATGGTGCTCTTTTGGTCCCTTAAGCTTATAACCAATAACACCAACACCAAAAGTCGATCCTTTCTCACGTTATCGACCACAATTACTTCCTCATTCTCGCGGTGTGCTTCTCCCTCTAACCCACTATTCCGATTGCCTTCCAATAACGGTCCTCACAGATTCTTTCCTCATCTTTCCAAATGGATTATCCCATTTCAGCAAGGTCCTCTCTTCCTTGCTTGCCCACCATGGAAGCTCTCTCAGTCCGCCACTCCTCTGTACCTGCAAGGAAATGGCTTCGTTCGACGAAGGGTTGAAGCGTTGAATTTGAATCTGAATTTACTTCGGGCTCGAACCCGTTTTCCTCTCAAATTGTTGGATCGGGTCGATTCCAGCTCGAAGGAGTCTTCCAAGCACGGTCTCGTGGACAGCTTCGTTAATGTGCCAAACCTCATCTCCTTCAGTCGCATAATTTCTGGTCCTGTTCTCGGATGGTACGTTCACTTTTTCCCCCTTGTGGTGATCGGATGGTACGCTTGTTTTGTATTTTCTTTTCATTTCTTGAGATTTTTCGAACTCAGAAGTCTGGCTTCTGGTTGTTAGAAATGTGAAATTGATTGGGGGGGGGCAAGGAAGATGCTGCTTTCTCGTACTTAAAGATACAAGAATAAATATAACCCTGAGCTCATTAATGTAGAAGATTCACTAATGCTTCGCAGGGAAACAACTGAACCAACTGTAAGCAGGAGAGAGAAGCCTTGCTCATTGCTTTCGTTCCTTGTCGTCTTTATTGAAAAATTGCTTTTTCTTATGTTTGAATTCATTACTTTAGACCTTGGGTAATGAAATGTTGATATTTATTTCGTTTGTGAACAATTTATGACAAAAAGAGACGGTAATTGCATCAATAGAATTTGCCAAACTTTTGGCTGCTGTTTATTGCTTGTTTAATGATGCTCTTGTTTGTGTGGTGATTTTGTCCAGGATGATCACAAATGAGATGTATACTTCATCGATGATAGGGTTAGCCATCTCTGGGGCAACTGATTGGGTATGAAAATAACCTTTTGTAAAATTATTATTGAAGCAACCCACTCTCTATTCAATAGAAGTTACGTAAAAAAATTCTTTCTCTTCTCATACGTTACAGCTGGATGGATATCTGGCTAGGAAGATGAAAATTGATTCTGTGGTGGGTTCCTATCTTGATCCACTTGCAGACAAGGTGCAAAATATATCCCTTCCTTCCAAGTTCTGTGTCGTTTCACATATGAGGTTGCAAACTTTTTGGATGATAGAACCAGCCTATTGGCTATATTTTGCGTGATGATTTACCTTAAATATATGATGCAGGTTCTTATTGGTTGTGTTGCAATTGCGATGGTACATCAAGATCTATTGCATCGTAAGTTGATATTAGCTTCTGTCAAATTTCCTTTTCAGCTTAGGACATTGACTGCTAATGTGTTTACAGCGTTGTATTAGGCCATGGTTGTGAACAGAGATGATAGCCTTGTAAAAAACTAAAAAAATTTGACTGTCTCTCTGATAGCAACATACACAATTTATACATCTTACTTTAAAAGTCATCCAGCCTGCTTTGCTAAAATTACAGATACTGTGATTCTGTGAATGTGCTATATCGTATTTTAATAATGGAAGTTTTTATTGTCTTAGCTACGTCATCATTTTTTTTAGATTTAGATTTGTTGATGTTCTGCACTGGCAATAGGTGTAGTACTAGATTATATCTTCTATTAAGTATATATTGCTTCAGGTTGATCGTTTTGGCAACTGAAAGGGCATGATTAGTGTTCTTGTTGAAATAATTGTATTTTTTTTTTTTCTTCAGTTAAGCTATGAAAGAAACACATTACCAATAGTTTGCATTCTTTGATGTATTATTTAAATATTCGTTTTGGTTTTTGTACTTTGAAGCTGGACTTGTTGGACTTGTTGTATTTCGAGATGTCTTCCTTGTTGGTGGTGCAGTATATTTAAGAGGGAGTAGCTTGGGCTGGAAGGTAAGAATGTGGTTCTCAAGTTTTCTTTTTTGCTTGAGAAATTGTATGCTGTTTAATTTTCTTTGGAAAGCTTAATTACGCTCTGCTTCTCTCAGTGGAAAAGCTGGTTTGATTTTTTTAACCTTGATGGGACTAGTCGTCAAAAGGTTGAGCCACTCTTTATTAGCAAGGTAAGCATTTTTTATGTTCGAGTTTATTGGGCAGTACTTGGCTTTGGGCATTAGGTAGGGAGAAGATTATGTGATACTAGTTGTCATGACCTGTTTATGAAGCTGCATGCATTTCTTAATTCTAGGATGACCTATTGATATGCATCGATGGAACATTTACAGCTTTAGATTCTGAAATCCCGCCAGATCCTAGGTAATTGGTAGATGGACTATTGGAGTTTTGCATCAGTGCATGGTTTGTTGACTGGTGTATAAATATTAGATTAGCCATAAAATGCAGCATTGCTAGAAGTGGAACTGAGCCCATTTTATGATAGATAATTGGAATATTTACAAGCCAGACCAGTCTTTCAATGGGTGCAGAGCAAATCTTTGCCTCTCATTTCGTTATGGTTAAAAGTTTTGTAGCTGTCTTGGGTTAAATTACTAATTTACAATACCTAACCCCAGCCCTTGTCCCAAACGTAAGAAGATTAAAAAATGGTACTGCATAAAAAGCATTAGGTAGGTTATGAGCATAGAGAGCATTTCTGCAGTTTTGATTTTCACTATGAATGTGGACAGGTTAATACAGTGTTGCAGTTAGCATTAGTTGCTGCAGCTCTTCTTCAACCTGAGTTTGGAACCCAAGAAACTCAATCGTACATTACTTATCTGAGGTATTATTCAGGCCAGAATTTTGTCTTGGTGGTGCTCCTAATCCCGGCAAATATTCATAGGTGCTCAAGTTGTCATTTTTAACTGGTGCAGTTGGTTAGTAGCTTCAACAACAATAGCATCAACTGCAGCATATGGAGCACAATACGCACGGAGATCCGCACTTGCAACGAAGTTAGCTTAGGTTCTCCATCGAGCTAACCACGTGAGGCACACCCATATTGATATGAACGAAATTTAGTGACTGTATAGAGTCAATCAAATTGTTCGCCATATACCTGGAGATACCGAGCATTCAGTTGTTTCAATGCACTCAGTCGTGAGGGTCGGTAGATTTTGTATTTCTTAGAAGGATGAAATTTAAATGTAATTTTCTGTTGCTATCGGCTAACTGAATCATGTGTAATAAGAGTATAAAAGGATGTTGCGTGCGAATGGAAAATTATAATTCTTGTATTATTATGAAATTACACACCCCTCTTCCAAATATGTAAGATATTTTTTAAAAAATTGAATGTTAAAAAATATACATGTTTTTATTAAAAAACAATCAATCAAGATATTTTTTAAAAAAATTGAATGTTAAAAAATGTACATGTTTTTATTAAAAAACAATCAATCATTTTATTAAAGGGAGATTTGATTAAAAATGTAAGGGAGGGAGTACTTGGCAGTTGATACTTAATCATTAAAATGGCGAGGCGCAAATCTTCATTCATCAGCTTTAACGGATATATTTTTCCCAAAATTTTGCTTAAAATTATAAAATACAATTACACGTTAACCCATTACCCAGTACCCACTGCACCAAATTCTAGTTCAGATGATCTACATGAAATTTTCTGAAATTTACACGTTTAATTTAACCAACTTCAAATTCAATCGCGACTTCTCAGTCCTTTTAGCTTATCAATTCATTGAAACGAACTGTAAAAACAAATGAAGGCTTGCAGAACGGTAATATTCAATGCATGATGATGAACCAGCATGCAGATGAATGTCTAATGAACAACCACCCACATAATCAAATCCTTAAGGAAAAGTCTTCAAACCGTGTATTCATTTTAACAAGGTCAAGTAAAATCATTCAAGGACCAGACAACCCGATTAAGTAATCCCTAAGTCCCTAACCGACGAAGAAAAGCATACCGGTATTCAAGCAACTAGCCCCCGCGTTGTTCAGGTCCTCTAATGAGACCGTTCTAAATAGCCATTGTTTCCCCCTCATTATTTATGAACCATACTCCCGAGCGAGCTTGAACTTCAAAATTTAACTAGAGCTCCACCATTTTCATATAATTGAATTCCATTTATTTGAAAACGTGACTGATAAACAACACCTGACAGACACTTCTAGCATAAGGGAAAATCACTTTATCATGGTGAAGCCTCTTCCCAGTTGCACATAATCAAGTACACATTACTGGCACCTGACAGACTTTTGTTCCAATCTCCGAACTGGACGATTTATATGAAATGGCGTTCGGTGCTTTGGCGGCATGAAAATAGATAATAAAACCTCAAGGAGATTTGATCCATTCACTTCTACAGGAATAAACAGCTTAGGTTTTCTCCAGGTTATTTGTTGCTATAGCTTAACCATTTAAATATCCCTACCACTTTTAAGTTTTGACATGCATCAAAGAGATTATCTGAGAGCTTGCACAAGAAACTAAAACCATAACTTAGAGATCAATTTATGGAGGTCACAGAAACTCAGAGAACCATCCACGTTTATTACCCGAATAAGAAAATTACCTATCATCAACAAAGAAAAGTATACAAAACTGAATTGGCAGAGTATCATTTAACATGGACTTTTAGCAACAAGCTAAGTCAGAGAAAAATAAAACTACATGATGGGGCCAGTCGTTCTTCAGCCGTCCGATCCGGATGTAAATCTTTCACAAGATGAAGAATTGATTCATAATATTGGGCAGATTAAATGACCGAAACAACTTACCCTTGACCGCAAACATAAGGTCATTTTGGCCAACTTCCCTCTGATAAATAATCTTTCAGGATTCTGCCTGATCAACAGAATATTTTTACGAATCACCGGTGTCCGTTATTGAGGCAATCCAGCTTCAATTTCATTCCATTTATCACTGTTTTCCGTAAATTTCTCCTTGATTTGCTTGATAAGATCTTTAGCTTTATCAACCTTCGAAATGCTGACCAGCCCATCCACGAGTTTTTTCATTGTCGAAAACGTAGGAATCCAATCCTTTCCCATGCTTTCTTTGGCAATCAGTAAAGCAGTCTCAAAATCTCCACATTGGCACAAGAAGTAAACCAGAGTAAAATAACAGTTGCTATCCGGCTTGAAACCTCTCCTTTTCATGTCCACAAACAATTTCTTGGCTTCGTCAAAGTGGCCGTCTCTACATAGTCCATGAATCAAATGAGAGTAAGTAACAGAATTCGGCTTTTTTCCCATGGATATCATTCCATCAAGCAAAGCTTTTGCCTCCGCCGATCTCTTCAATTTACACAGACTCTGAATCCTAATATTGTAGGTGCTTAGACCCGTTTTAATACCATGCTTCTTCATCAAGTCCAACACCTTCCCGACCTCATCAAACTTTTCCTCCTTGTAAAACCCCGCAATCCATGTAGTGAAAGTAGTCGCATTTGGCCCGACAGACTTCCTATCCATCTCAGCTAATATGGAATACACAGAACTAGACGAACCCGACTCGCAGAAAGCCTTGATTACTGTATTATAGGTATCAAGGTTCGGCTTTATTTCATACATCTTAGGGAACTGAAGATAAATTCGGCTCACCTCCTCATAGTCCTTGGCCAGAATACAAGCGAAGAGAAGAGCATTGAGCGATCTAACCGACCGACGAATGCCCAATTCATCCATTTCCTTGAAACTCCGAATGGCATGGTCAAGCATGTCAGCTTGGCCATACAGAAAATCGCGTGCGATACATAACGCTCATTCCTCAGGTCAGGTCGTGTCTTCAACTCCTCGAGGAATTGACGAATTCCCTCGAAGTGATTAAACTTGGAGAGTTTGGAAATGGCGACAGAGAAAGCAACTCGATCGATGTGAGTCACGGGAGTGAGTGAAGCAGCGCGGCAAATCTCGAGGATGCGTTCTGGGTTCTTCTCGGCCTTGAGAAGATTGAGGGCGGCTCTGGATTTCTCGATAGAGGAGAGAGGCTTGGATGAGTCCTGAGATAGGATTGTGGAATAATGACGTTTGGGGCAGGCTTGGCGAAGCCGACAGAATATAGACATTGTAGGAGATGGAGATGGAGCTCGAGGCATAAGCCCAGGTAGGGTTTTTCAGCAGAGACGATGGGAGAGTGAAGGCCAGTGAGTTTTGATCGTTGTGGGGTGCGGAGAAACAAAAGTCTTTTGCACGCATGTGTATGCACTATTGGTAAGTCCGCTGATCGTAACCGTTTATTCATTTAAGATATGTGGTAGATGTGCGGCGGGGATCAAACAAGGGTTGGTGAATGATTATACTATTTTGAAATAAAGAAAGTTTTAAACCAAACATTATTTAATTCAATTTTTATTGATTTGGTCTTTAAGTTTTAACTATTTTGCTTTAGTTACATGAGTAATGATACTGTGTTTTTCTTTTTTTTTTTACTAAAATACCTTTTTTTTATTTGTAAGATAAACAAATAACTCATAACTTGCCTAACTCGCTTATATCCAAATTAAATAGGTGAGTTGAGCAAGTTAATTTTAAAAGCTATCTCGTTTTAAATGTAAATGGGAGAGATAGTCTATAGATTACCTAAAAACCTGCCTATTCCAACTCATTCATTTTAAAAAAATATATATTTGTGTTCTCCTTATATGTTGAATATCACTATCATCTTTGCCTTTCTTTAAAAAAAAAAAAAAAAACTCTCACTCACTTCAAGTCTCTCGCCGCTCACACTCATCTCTCAAATTTGTCTCTCATGGCCATCGCTCATGCTCATCTCTCACTCCTTCACTTTATGTCTTCGCTCCTACTTCTTTGCTCTTTAATAATCTTCATCCAATATCGCGCTTTGTGATTGAAGCCTAAAGACTGAAGCCTTCATTAGTCATAACTCAATGTCTCCCTCTCCCCCAAGCTGTGAATCGCAATTTAAAGAGAAAGTGAAGATTGAATGCTACTGAAGCTAATGACTTAACCCTACTCGTAACTTTTTTGTGTCTCTTATAACATTTTAAAATTTCACTTTGGTTTTTCGTAAAAATATGATTAAATAATTAAACCTTAACTATTAAATACTTATTATAGTAAAACAGTGTCTAACAAGGTAATAAAAAGTAAAACATAATTTTCCAAAACATTACCATGATAAATAGAGGTTTGTCATGGTAGAAAGAGTTTTAAATATCATTTTTAAACCTTACCATAATAAAAAAAAAGTCTATCATAATAATAAAGAGTCAAACTCATTTTATAAGAGTTTATCATGGTAAAAAAGAGCTTTTCTTTCAATAAAATATTTTTAAAATGGACTATTATGATAGAAAAAAAAATATCACGAAAGAAAAGGTTTAAACATAACAAAATAAGTTTGCCATAGTAATTTAGGAACTAAATAAGTTACATAAGTAAATACCAATGAAAAATATTATTACATAAAGTAAACCTAATGGGATCTCATTGAAAACCAATGTTCAAAATTCACCATTTGATTTTAAATCATTAAAAAAACATGAAGCATGGTTCCAAGGCATTTTAAATTCAAACATCATATTATTCACAAATAATAGCTAACAAAGTGACTTAGGAGTACACCCATGATAAGTACATTAAACTCTAGTGGAGTAAACCACACTTTTCAAATATAAATTTAATTATCAATATCCAACATGGGCTTGAACAGTACTTTTCACAATTGGTTGACCTTACACAATCAAAGTCCTCACAATGATATATACTTGACCACAACACAATTACATCAAACATCATATCATAAAACACATTATAAACATGTACAAAGAAAAATAATAGTTAGGTTACAACCACTCAATACAATATGTATGTATATATGTACGTATGTATGTACACGAAAATTAATGAAAAACTATCAAATATCCAAAATATAATTTAAATACTTTAAGTCAAATCAAATGAGATCATGGGTGTTTAACACCAATCCTATAACTACAATTTAAACAAGGCACACTAAAGTCAAAAGTTGACATGCTCTAAATAAACAAAATATGTCTTAAGTTGGTAATCATAATAAGGCATAACATAGATAAAGTGGTGTTTCATATACCAAATCTAAGCCTCAAGTGCTCCTCTAGCTAATTTTTCTCCTGTAAAATTACTAATCATGAGGAATGAGACACAAAGATTTCAATAACCAATATCAAAATGCCACAATGCATGCAATATAGTTAATCATGCAATTACCAAATGGACATACAAGAATATTTTTCATATATATAAAATTCACATAATCTAGACAAAAATAAGTTTGCATGACTACACTTCATATCCTTCCATACACCATGTCCGAAACCAAGTCACCCGATTAAAGGCAAGCTGGTCTAAGCTAATAGTCACTCATTGAGTCTAATGAAAACGTATCTTATGGTAGGTAATCTTTAGGCAAAATTTCAATTGCACAAATTTCAAAACAAACCCAACGAGTCATGTACCAAGAGTTTTTCAAACAAAAAATATTTTCGCACAATAAATCATACTTTCACACATATTCTTTTCATTTGAACATAAATATACACATATAATTAATATCCCACTTGATGATTAATTTTTTCTAAACAATAAATGCACATTTTGTTAATATAATATTTTTCAAATAATAATTTATTTCAATAAAATACACATAATAAATCACAAGGCACACGCATATCTCTAAGTTACATCTCCATTGAAAAAACATGAAATTGACTTTAAAAAATGAAACATAATTAATGCAAAACAATTCATATATGTTTTATAACTCGCCTCCTAGAGAGCTTTCTGTTTTGTTTGTAAATATTTTGCAAAATTTATTTTTTCTTAATAATACGTTTGGTGTGAATTCATTAAGTAATTATAGTACAGAAAGGGATTGAGAGATAAGTAAAATTAAGTTAGAATATATTACGTTTAATTGATTTTTTAAAAAAATATAAAATAATTTTAAGAAAATCAATTAATTTTACTTTTTTTTACCAGCCAATTAATTTTACTTTTAACTAATTTGTAAATTTTGTGTGAATTAGTTAAAAATAATTTGTAAATATAAACGGGAGAATTGCTAAAAAATCCTTTGTTGAAAGGAAAATTATGCTCAATGACCAAGGGAAATTAAAGGACCAAATCAAATATAATATTTATAAAAAAAATTCAAACAATTGACTGAAATGCCCCTATGTGGGATTTCATTTAACAATCTAAGCAATCTAGGTGGGATGATTTCTAGCATATATTTCCTATCTTCTTTTATAAGATTTGCTTCCTTCACTATTTCTTATTCGTCTAGGAGTCAGGCATATACCTCCAAGCTTGAATCTTCTAGCTGGCTTGAATCTTATAGCCGATCTAATTTTAAAAAGTTTTTTAAGGTGCCTCTATTGATTCATAAATTTGAAATAGAGTTTGTAGGTATTTATCTTAAAATTTCTTATTGTTAGCAGAGGCCTAATTATCTGTCCCTGCCAACAACAATTTCAATCCCAAATTTCTTAGTTCCCCCTATTGAATTGGTGGTTTCGTCCCTCCTAGAGTTTAAGGCATAGTAAATGATGGCTATGTAGTCGACGTCACCAAGTTAAGCTTTTATGAGCTTCCGGGCGTACTTGAATCTAGGTCCTTGCTTAAGATCAAGTAGGCTTACAAAGTAGCTAGCGCGCAAGTACCACCTTATTGTGTCGCCGCCAGATTGAGCTAAGGAATATACGAGGAGATTCATTCGGGTGCAGGATCCTTAAAAATATGATCTATGCTTGATGGAGGTTTTGCAATAAACAAATTTTTTGTGCTTCCAATTTGATGTTATCCATACTAGAAATTGCCTTGCCTAGATTACTTAGATTGTTAGATGTAATAGAGCCGGTAATTCGAGCAAGTTTATTCAAATTAGGTTTGAAGTATCCTACTCTATTAAAAAAGCTCACATAACTAAGTCTAATCATAACTTTTTTAATTGGCCAAAATTACCAATTATATATATATAAAGATGAAAATTATAGCAGTCAGGTTTATTCGAATCGGGCTTAATTCGAGTCAGTTTATTAAGATCAGGTTTGAAGTATCATAACCTCTTAAAAATGTTCATATAATCAAGTCGAGTCCTAACTTTTTTGGACAGGTTCAAGTTTGGCTCAAGTTATCGGCTCCGAAATGAAATATCACATAGGGGCATTTTGATTAATTATTTAAATTATTTTATGAATATTATATTCAGTTTGGTCCCTCAATTCCCTTTGGTCCTTGGGCATGATTCTCTCTCAACTTGGGATTTTCTAACAACTCTCCCAATATAAATGGAGGAAGTACAAATTTTGCATGGACTGATATGCATTAGAAGAGTTTTAATAATCAATTTATACAAATACTCTGCTTCACTTTACTCTACTCTTATTATATGAATTAAACGTCTCTTAATTTTGTTTAATTAAACATGTAATCGCATGTACTCCCATATAAATGACAATGTTTTTTATATGGATATATTGGTAATTGACATTGCAGTTCCATATGCATCGTGGATGTTTGAACATACGGCCTTATATTTGACCCAAAAAACATATATGGGCTTAATAACTTGGAGGCCACCCAGACCTATTGGCCCATTTTCCAGCCAAAAACTTGGGAGACACAGAGGGACAATATGATTGGTTCGTGAATAACACGCGCTTCTTGATTCGCATTCTTCCGTCATCTCTCTCTCTCTCTCTCTCTCTCTGTTTTTTTTTTTTTTGTTTTGGGAAGAACCACGCGATCATGTTTCCCACAGCCAAGTCCAGAACAGGAAAGAACACTCTCTGCCTTTTGAACATCTGGTGCGCTCGTTCCCATTTCCTTGCTTCTTCGTCAGTTTTCTCCTGCTTATTCTTCCATCTCTTCTGGATTCTCATACTAGCTCTTTGATTCTGCAAAAGAAGTTTTGAGAAGCTTTAATATTCGTTTTTGCAATCATTCTAGGCAGAAATTAGGGGAAGAACAGAATGGCTCAAGCCGTCGAAGAATGGTATAAGCAGATGCCCGTAATTACACGGTCGTATCTCACCGCAGCTATTGTCACCACTGTCGGCTGTTCTCTTGATGTACGCCTTTTATATACGTTTTCTCTATTTTTATGCTTTGCTCATCCGTCGTAAACAAGGGTTTGCATTTTTTTATCTGACGCTTTAAGGGATTGTAATTTACTTTGTCAAATGCGTTGGCTTGATTGTTTCCTTTTTAGATTGTTATTGTTTCAAATTAAGGAAACATAACCGTTTGTTGATTTGCAACATTTAATAATTTAAAATTGTTAATTGGAACGGATATTAGGCAATTAGTTGTGATCTGATTAAGTTCATTTTGTTTCAAAACGGGTCGTTTCAAAGTTCTTGATTTTTTAACTCTGTTACTATTATCGAATTTATTGATTTGGAATTTGAAAAGTTCAAGTGACATGATGTTTGTTGGTTTTTTTTTATTTTTTAAATGACTGCGCAGATAATATCTCCGTATCATTTGTACTTGAATCCAAGACTGGTTGTTAAGCAATATCAGTTCTGGCGTCTCATTACTAACTTCTTGTACTTCCGGAAAATGGGTAATTCTTGCCTTTCATAGAACTGTTATTAATTGAAATTGGCAGGTTGATTTTTGTAGATAATTCAATTTAAACTGTAATTTAGCTCAGCATTCAGATGCTTTATTTGATAATGGGTTAGGTTGGGAAAGATATCCAACCCATTATTCGCATGCCCAATGGTAGTGAGTGAGATGGGTGATGGCAGGTTAAGATCGAGATATATGTGCTGCCACACAAGTGTAGTTCACGTTTCTACCTGATTCAGGATAAACATCTACTTTTGCTGCCACTTTTTTATTGGCTTTATATTTGTATCTATGATTGTTTGCAATTCAATTCTAATTTTGATTGGAGAGAAAGAAAATGAAATATTGTCTGCCTTTTTGGGTGTAGCACGATTGGAGATTAAGGCTGTGTTTGGTTTGAGGGGAGGGGAGGGGTTTGATATTACCTTGTTTGGTTCAAGAGAAGAGGGGAGGAAAAATAATTATATATGAACAATTTTACCCACGTTTTATAAGTGTTGAGATACTAGAGAAGTGTGTTGGCATGTTTTGAATTTATTATGGAGGGCATATTAGTTAGGATGCCAGATAGTTTACCTCTCCCCTCCCAATCCCCCCAATTTGGAGGGGAGGCCACTCCAATTTTTCAAGCCAAACAGGGGGGGGGGGGAATCCCTCCCCTCCCCTCCCACCAAACACCCCCTAAAGAAAGTTGTAGTTGAAGAGTCAGTGAAACTGTGCAACGTGAATATAGCATATATTGATTATCAAGTCTGAGTACTAATTCCTTGACATATCCCTGACTTTCCTGAACGATACAATACCCAGCACTTTTTCCTCAAGTCCTTCCTGTTAAGTAAGTGTTACCCTGCTTTATGCCATTGAACAGATCATAAAAAATTCTTATGCTTGTTTATTTTGCTTTGTGTATATTGTGCATCTTTAAGGAGCATAATACTGGTAAAGGTTTCATATTATTGACTCATGTATGCTTCATATTATTTGATAAGTAGACTGGAGGTTTTAGATTGCACATCTAATTTATTCTTGACCTTTTGTATTTTGAATGGCAGACTTGGATTTCTTGTTTCATATGTTTTTTCTTGCCCGCTACTGCAAGCTTCTAGAGGAGAATTCATTCAGGGGGCGAACTGCCGATTTCTTTTACATGCTCTTATTTGGTGCTACTGTGTTGACTGGAATTGTTCTTCTTGGTGGGATGATACCTTATTTGGCAGCATCATTTGCAAAAATTATATTCCTGAGCAACTCATTGACATTCATGATGGTCAGCAGCGTTTGCTTATATATTTATTGTTGAGACTTCATGTTTTAAACCCTGATAATGTTTGAATATTTTAACTTCTCTTAATTTTCAGGTTTACGTTTGGAGCAAACAAAATCCGTTCATTCATATGAGCTTCCTGGGCCTCTTTACTTTCACAGCCGCTTACCTTCCATGGGTGCGTAAGCTCTGCTGTTGTTATATGGTTTGACACGTTTATATGACTATTGTTTAATGCTAAACCAAATGTTTTATACATAAAATTTTATACAGGTTCTCTTGGGATTTTCTGTCCTTGTTGGTGCTAGTGCTTGGGTCGATTTACTGGTTTGTTTACTAATCTCAGAAAGTACTATAATGTTGATACTTCTCACAAACTCTCACTTCGTCTGTTATATCATGAGAACAAGCTTTTTACTATTTCTAAAATGCAATCAGGTTCTGTCCTAAAAATATGGCAAGCGAATAATTTTTGCAAACCAAGATAGGATTGATTGTTGAAACTAAGTTTATAAACATGTTGTATTTTGGTGGCGGAACATACAGCTGAACAAAATTTTGGATAAAACTGAAATGACTAATGACAAGCTCGAAAACGCATTTCAGGGAATGATTGCTGGCCATGCATATTATTTTCTGGAAGATGTCTATCCTCGGATGACTGGTCGCCGGCCTCTTAAAACCCCAGCATTCATCAAAGCACTATTTGCTGATGAGAATGTTGTTGTGGCACGGCCAGCCAATGTCAGATTCGCGCCCCCGCCAGCAGAAGAAATGCACCGCGACTGAATTGGCTTTTGAAAAAACCCAACCAATGGGGAGCTGACGATAATTTGAGCAGTGGAAATAGCAAGTGAACAGAGAAGCGATTGATCTTGTAAAATATAGATTTCCTCAATATCTTTTGTACCCCCACATTTTTACGTTAATTTGTTGATTATTATTATGATTTAAGGTCTGTAGTTGATGGCTTTTATTTTATATCAAGTTTATATTGATTAAGAAAAGAAGTCACAGTAATTTAATGATAAATTAATTAATTCTTATGAAGAAAAGGCTCGCAGTGAAGAAACGATAGTTCTAGCTTGTGAACAGATGCTTTTCTGCGCCAAGGTGTCTTCTCTTGTTAAGAGAGATGGCTCCCACTAAGCTTACTACGAGGAAATGCTTGCTATGGTCTATGGAGCTTCCTCTGTCTGGTAGGAAGTGTCTTTTTTTTTTTTTCAAGATTTCTATATTTTGTATCAAAAGTTTTAAGCTGCATTGTACATTGATCCATTAGTTTTTGGAGACTCGTGTTCACTTATGCTTTGCATACGTGCTTGCGTACGCGTAGTTGCTTTATGCGCGCTCTTCAGAATTGAGGTCTGTAAGGATACAAGAACGATGTACTTTGGGCTACAAGTGTGGAGGCACTGAGTTGTGTATGGGGCTTTGGGGTGAATTCTACAACACCTTGCCAAGATTAAACCACCATCACGGGACGATGATATGTGCTTATGTTTGAAGTGTAATGTGGGAACATATAATCTCTCTGCTCAATTTGTATCTGTAATTCCATCAAGTGGGATTTATTTTTCTCCCCTTCGTGATTCTCATTTATGATGTTGTTTCAACAGTTATCTACAGCTGGGGAAATTCATCTCTCTGCAACGTTCGAGGCCGGTGAAATATGCCAAGCATTCCCCGCGACAAACGGAGCAAAACGAAGTATCTAGGCACAACTACGTAAAACTCGGACATAAAGCAATGCAACATCTTGTTATAGAATACCCCTCTCTTCCTATTTATAGGGTAGGGAGAGACTTTGTTGATCTTATGTGTAGAATACTTCAATAATGATTGTGTCAATATAATCATTCTGCGCTTATTAAATACTAGAGTATTTTATTTTTAAAATATATACACTCCTTCTGTTTAAAAATGTGAGAAATTTTTTGAGGAGTTAGATATTAAAAAATATCAAATATTTTTTATCTTTTAAGATGTAATCATTATTTTTTTTTAAATACCTCTATTGATAGTAACTTTATTTTTATTATAGAGAAATAAGAATAAATATGGAAAGATATAGTTAGTTTTAAAGTAGATAATTATTTTATTAGGAAGTGAAGTTCGATTAAAATGCCTTACATTTTTTAATGGAGGAAATATTTAATAGGGACTAAGTTGAAAACTTACTGAATTTTTAAACAGAGTAAATAATGTATAGGTTTTTTCTTTAATCCTGAAAAATACGTTATCCTGACTTATATATTCTTTTTTTCCATTTGACTGTTAAGTTATAAGTAATATATGTATTGGAATGTTCAAGAGAGAAGTCAACTAGAGATTAAATGTGTTTTTTAATTAATTGAGCAATTTTTTCAATGGTTTGAGAGTAGATTTTCTTTGAAAAGTAATATATGTTGTTTGTTTTCAATGAAGCATGAAATACAGAGGTGCAGACGGGCATTGATTCCCTCAAATATTCGTGCGATTTGGGGCAAGTTTAGCAAGCAATAAAAATAGCAATCTGCGAGCATGAACAGGAAAAGAACGGAGGCATCATTAACTTCCAGTTCCAGGTAACCGCTTGGCATCTCAACCCTGAAAACAACCCCCTACATCTAAGCCACATGAAAATCTCTATTCAAAATAAATCCCTCATCCAAAAAAAAAATGGAAAAGAAAAAGACCCTACCAAAATTAACCAGAACTATCCTTTCCAAGCGGCATCTCTGTACATTACACATATCAGAAGAATTGCATCCATAATGAATCAACTGCTTCAGAAAACTTTGGCTGGATAGTTTGTCTGCATCTGGTTCTCCTGCTAAACTTCAGCGTCATCTAACTACAGAATTTTTTTTTTTTTTTTGGTGGGGGGGGTGGTGTTGTGGCAGAGCGAGAGAACCATTAAAATTATATCTAATTGGCAAAAGAATAGAATAAGATCCAGGACGCAATATAGTTAACGGATAGGGTGATATTGGGCTGATATTCTCTTGGGGGGCAATTTGCGAAGGATGAAGAGGACTAAAGCTGAAGGCAGGATCTCAACCAGCTGTATTTGAGAAATAAATTACCAGATGTTAATGTCAAACAAAAATGATTGTGGTAATTAACAAAAAGTTCTTGGTAGAATAATACCAGATAGTAGATCAAGTCCAAAATTGGATGATTTAAAACGTCAAGAGATGCATCCGTATCAAATGCTGCTAGAAAAACCTGCATGCGTATTACCGGAAGTGTTTTCAAATCACCCAAAAAAGAAGTGTGCTTGAGGATTTAAAAGTAATAATAAAATGCATGAAGGAGAATGATAGAATTCAGCCATATCTACACATCACCAAATTCAGCCACCCTATCAACTTCTACTTGAAACAAAATTCACATTTTCAGGTGTTGGTTATTAACAATAATTGAGCTTGCTAATTCGAGGATTCATGGTTTTGGGGGAAAAAAACATACAAGAATGTTATTAACAGGACAAAGAAACCCTTCCTTAGATTTTGCTATTTTACAACTACGCATTGAATAAGTATTACTTCATCCAAGTACGTAAAAAATGTTATTGTTTTAGTGGTGCATTCGTGAATTGAAACTACCTATAGCTGCTAGTACCAGGCAGAAGGCTAAAATATTTATAGCGGAATGACATAACACGGGGCGGTGTGAAGCAAAGAAGAAAAGAGTAATGATAACTACAAAGTGGCATGTTCATATAGACAAACTTCAAAATATGTAGAATACATAAATAATCATTATAATAATTTAGTCAGAAGTTACCATTATGCATCGTATCAAAAAACAGGTGAAACATATGACAGTGACAGATCCGACCTGCATCACAAAGCCCACCTTTTATCAACAAAACTATTCTTGATATATACAACCTCTATTTCAATTTCTCGTGTTCTAAATTTGGAACACAAGAAAATCAAAAGGTTCATGTAAGTCCACAGTCGTGACTTCTGGTCCAAAGAAACATTCAGAAATTAGAAACCTTGTCTGGAGACTCTTGCACGTGTGTTTGGAACAAGCATTAATTTTACAAGAAAAGTAGAAGAAACACCAAAGGCGTTAATATACAAGACATGTACATGCACACTTCACACATATCCACACGTGCTATGCAGTCAAATATCACGTGGTTTCAGGATGTCCTATTTTATTCTGTGCGTGTGGGGTTCCAAACTCAAATTGAGAAAGATTTCTTTCCAATAATGAGGGTAAAAGAGAAGCAGGGTGTGGTTACGATGGGAATGCTAACGAAGAACAGCAGCAAAATGCAGGATAAAAACTAGTTTTAAATAAGTTGTGGACCTGATTTTTTGTCACTTGGAACTAAAGCTTAATTTATGACATGACCACAAAATCCGGAGTCAGACAGTCAGTATATAGTTAAACCAAAAAATTAACAATGCTGATACCATATCTCATTTCTCATATGACCATAAGAAATTCAATGCACTGGCCTTTGGCAGGCAAAGAAATATTCAATCATTAAGTCAAGCATTTAGATCATCAATCCTTCTTTTTTTTTTTCTCGGCAATTTCCATCAGAAATATTGAGAAAGAAGTGCACATACCTCATGAAGCTTTTTCCTTCGCCCTTTAGATTCAATAGGAAACCGCTTCAGCATGAAAAATAATCTATAAACAAAGTAAGGTGCGTATATTGAAAAGTCCGCCCACAATGACGACGAATGATGAGTTAGTTAATGATATTGAGACATCAAAGGTACTTCTTAGTCCATAACATTTCAGTCAAAATGAAGCCTCACCTTCCACCATAGAGCAAGAAGCCTAATGCAGCCATAAATGATATAACTGAGCACGAGAAAAGCAAATCCCATTAAAAAGGTCTATGTTATTGCCAAGATCATTTCAAGGGAGGAAAACAAATTCTCAAGCTCACCACTCAGAAAAAAACACAAAACTGTAATTGAATAGAAAGCTAACCTGCAATAAATATCTTTCCAACAATTTCCACAACTCTATTTTCATCTATCCAGAGGTATATCCAAACACAAACCTGAATATCAAGTCATTTTTATTACAATTATTACCCTTGCCAAAGATCAAAGAGCATTTTCCTTTTTGCTCCAGAAACAATGGAGAGATTCACGCCTAGCTTGACATGAATCAATCAGGAGCTAAAAATCGGTAAGCCAAATTACCACACAAAACATAGGCTACTGATATGCAATATTTCAAAATCCAACAAACTTAGATGAACATAGGGCACACATGTAAGATGTACATATTCGCCTAATCACGTCAAGAAACTTTCAGACACCAGGAAATGTCTTGTTTTGAAATTGTCTAGTATGGATCCTATATTGCAGTGGGAAAGTCATTGTGTGTCGACAAAAGGTATTGAAATGAACATGAAGAAAATGGACACATCAAAAAATAGTGATATTGTGCTCATGTCTATAGACTCTAGACAACAACTTTGTGTGAAGAATAAAAGAACATACGATAAATACCTGGATAAAGTATATGGCGCCATTTATTACAAGATAAAACACCCTGAGCTTATCAGCTGGTAAACTCCTTGCCTGATTATGTATTGTAAAAAAAAAAAAATTAGAATTTCCCGTGCTAAGAAGGATAAACCGAAAAACAACTTTCTGTGGACATGTCAATATATATATATATATAATAGCTTTTAGTGTAGGATTTTATTTTATATCAACAAAAGTGAGGCTCTTAATAGATGATAGCAAAAGTAGGAATCAACAACCGCGTGATTTAAAATAACAATTGACTTGCCTGGTGATAAATTTCTGCCCAGAAAAGGACTAGAAGTGTATATGTTGAGAAAAACAGTAGTCCGGGTAGATCCAATAGCACTAAAATCAATACCTGATCCAAAATGCAACCACTCTGTTAGCGTTCAAACCTTACCATATTAGTCATAGAATTCTTTATCCAGCTTAGCAACTATAAGAGCGTCGCAGATGCAAAGCCAACCTTTGGATGCAACAGAAAAACTTGATGGTGAAATCCAAACACAACTGCACGCACTGCAATATGAAAAAGCCAAGAAAGGAGTAAAACGCCCGAACACCTAATATCAGAGATAGTTCAAGGACCAAGACTCTCAATGGCACCTCACCTCCGTTGACAATGAAGTTCATCAAATGAAAAATTTTTTGCGTTGTCCAACCATATTCAGGCACTCTTAATTCAATTCTTATTAATTGAATCTGCATCGTATTAAAACCACAAAGACGGCATAAGTTCGGGATCCTGTTAACACATGAAAGACAAAGTAGAAATCGAAGTGCAAAAACCGGTCGTCATTATCAAGTCCAGCGCACTTACCCTTTATTTACAGCATAAACAACTAATTGAACAATAAATTTTCGAAAAAATATAAACCGGAATCAGGTAATCGCTGGACATCAGAGACTAAAATCTAAAAAATGAAAAATTAAGCTAATAAAACTTCGAAATCATCTATGAGCATGACTGTCGCTAGACAAGTATGATCAATCAAAGTATTGACACAAACCTAATATTCTCATTAGCTCAAGCTAGATAGGGAAAAAAGGGTGCAGAAAAACATAACGTGTGTAATAATTAAATTTCAGTTCATACTAGTGCGACTGAAGTAAACATTATAAAATCGACCAGTAATTGCGAGAATTGCTTTGAAAAATCCATAATCAAGAGCAAAGCTACAGTTCCAGTCTTCAAGATAGATAGAGTAAGAAACCGGAGCTACAGAGAGCCAGGCTTGTAGTTATCAAACTCCAGCACATTCATACGTTACTCAAAAAGCTTAAAGCAACTATTAAACTAATGGTTACAAAATAACACAAGATGGAATCAAATAATCACGGGAGGCATCAAGTTGAAATTTAGCTCAAAAAAAAAAATTGAAATCATCAATGAATGTCGATAGACAAGTACATTAATCAATCAAGAATGTAGATGCACATCTATCATTCCAAACAGCTTATATAAACAAAAACAAAACGAGCGAAGGAAAACACTAAACGTCTGCCACAGTGAAATTCCAATTCAGAAGACAACGACTCAAGAATACAGAACCAGAATAGCAAAGGAAAATCCAGAATCACCGTGAGTCGGGCACAAAAGTACAGCAGTTTCAAATACAGAGAGGGAGAGTATGTGTAAGAAACCAGAGCTACGGAGGAGACGAGAGCATATGCAGCACAGAGGAAGTAGTAAATAGCGTCCTGCCACAGAGAAGAGTCGTTGATCTCGTCCCACCAGTTGGAGAGAAGAACTCCAATCTCCATGAAAGGCGAGCTAAGCAGCACTTTCCTCATTTCTCCGCCCAGAAGACGAAGAGAATGACAGTGAAGGAACAGAGCTGCTCCCCTGAGAGCGAAGGGACGATTCTACCAGACAGTCCAAGCAGTTGAGAGAGAGAGAAAATAATAGGTGTATGCGCGCGTTCTATATCAAAGGTGGGTTCAGGTGGAAAGTAAAGGGGAACATTGTTGTTGTTATTATTATTATTATTATTTTACCGCAAGGGCTCCCGCCCTTCGTCTCCCAAGTCCCAACTAAGATTCTACGTTGCGAAAGTCACCTAGCAAACTTGGTTGGTGAAGGGCGCAATTTTTTTTTTTTTTAATACGGCGAAGGGCATTTACTTCTCCCCCTGCTCCCCCCCAAGTCCCTTTTTTCATGTCCGTTTTTTCATTTATTTTATTAACTAATCTTTTCCCGCGTAATCGAATAGTGCCACTATTGCCAGTGTGCCATCCATAAATAATAGTCTAATTTTTTTTTTCACTGGAAAAATGCTGATTCTAACACAATTTTATATGTAAATTCAAATTCAACTAACACAAAATTAGAGAAATGAAAAGTAAAGATAATCATCAAATAAAAAAAAGGTATATAGAGCCAACGTCACCTGTTCTTTCAAGGGGGGAAAAAGAATAATGCATCTTGTTCTGCTTTCTTAAATCAGGAGGGTCTGTTTAGTTATTTTACAGGATATGAATAAAATTGATTAAAGAAATAAAAAAAATTAAATTATCCCCTTCCTTCGTGGCAAATGAGATGAATCTAATACAATATATTATAAAGGGTTAATATATAATTTAAATCTTAAACTATAGGTTCAGAGTGATATAAATTCTAAACTTTTAAAAGATGCATTCTGAACCCTAAATAATTAAAGTTAGAAAAATTTTATCTCAACTGTTGAGTTTATACAAACATTCGTCAAATTAGGACTTAACGTGTAATTTTTATCAAATGAAGGTAGGAGAAAGAGGGAAAGTGAAATTTGAAAAAATCACATATGAGGCCTTAACTTGATAGACATTTGTTGAAATTTAACGGTATGAGCAAAATTATCTCAACTTTAATTATTTAGAGTTTAAAATGTATTTTTTTAAAAAAAATTTAGGGTTTAAATCATCCTTGAATCTATAATTCAAGATTTAAATTACATATTAATCCTATTATAAATGTGAAAAACACATACCATTATGATTCTTATAAATCATGACTTTTATATCTTGATAAATATGAATTAAATTAATTACTAATTTAATCTTATGAATTAAATTACCATTCTTTTCATAGATATGTCATATGATTGTCTTATGTCTCTTTTATATTTTGATTATTTTGTTTTCGTCTTTATTTTTTTAATCTATTGTGTTGCCTACCTTTTAGTAACCAAACAGCCCTAAGTCAATGGTAGGTTGAGTTTGATATAGTGGAGATATTCATGATACTTTCATCACTAACTTCTTCCTTTTGATAGATAAGCATTTTAGGCATGTATTTGTATCTTTTTTTATGAAATAGATTTGCATTTATAAATGTGGTTCACTGTCTAAGACCAGTAGGGTTAATATGTTCATTCAATTTGCGAGCATTTAAATTATCACTTTAATGCTATCAAGTTATCTAACAATATTATTAATTTATCTGCCTAAAATATGATATTTATAGGATATTTAATGGCAACCTTATAAGTATAATTATAATTGGAGTTACCGTACACTTATCCACCCCTGGGATAATTTAGACGATGAAGGTGAAGTGTAATGTAATGGTGGAATGACAAAAAACCAAAAAAAAACTACAATTCAAGGGCACAAAAAATTGCACTAATTATCATATCAATATCATTGAACATTAATATTAAATATATAGTTTAACTCATATCTTACCCAAAAAAAAACTATTAAATCTATAATAAGATGTTTATTTTTGCACTATAATCTAGAGTATGTACTATTTACAAATCTTAATTTATTTTTCAAATTATATGTAAAGTCAATATATCAAAATCACATATAAAGTTAAGACAAAATTATACTATTTATACCAATTAAAGTTTGTGTCAATAGTAAGAGCTCTTATCACTTAAACAAGTGGTTGGAGATTTAAATTTGAATCCTCGTATGTGTAATAATTTAGTTAAAAAAGATCTACCATTCACCTTTTATACCTTAAGGGAGATGATCTTTGTTATCAGTGGAGTTTGCTCCTTATGTTGTCAAAAAAAAAAATCATACTTCTTATAAATCATTTAGCAATGGCCACATGGTGCCATGAGGGCAAATGCACCTTTTCATTTTGAAGAAAATTATAAAATTGATGTATATGTTTTAGTATTTGACACTCACATCCTTGAAATTTTGAATTGCTTGCTCTTGGATTTTAATATTTTGCATTCCTTGCTCTTGATTTTTTTTTTTTTGGGGCAAAACCCTTGCCCTTGAATTTTAAGATTCTACATCATTGTCTAGAGGTCTTGGCTCGGGTGAAAATAGGCTAGACTCTGTATAGTAAATTAAAAGCTTAAGCCCAACCTAAAGCTTATATAAGGCTTTTTTCATGGCTCAAGCTTAAACCTATATAAAGCATGGTTTAACCTGAAACACAATTTAAAAGCCTATTTAAAAGCAAGCATTTTAAATAAACTCACATTTTAATATTAAATGGCTCAAATATATTTTAAAATTATTAGTATAAATATATAACTTTATTTATCAATTATCATATATAATAATTAAAAGAACTTACCAACTACAATAAAATACAATAATAAAATAATAACATTAAAATCAATAAATAAGTCTAATATATTAAAAATTAAATAGTAAAACTAATGTGTGTGTGATATATTACTTAATATATGAATGTGTGTGTGTAATAAGTTAGTCTGTTGGGTTCATAGGCTATCCCTTAAAAAACTAAGTTTGTCCTATTTGATTAAATGGCCTAATTAAATATATGAACCTAGCTTAAGCCTATTTAGAAAATTGGCTAGGCTGGGCTAAGCTTAAAGTAGGTTAGGGCATAAGCCTCTTATAAGAACTTGACCTATTCTTACCCTTAACTCTATCACTTAAAACCTATTTGGTTTATGTTTTTTAAAAATAATAATAGCTTTTTCAAAAAAAATTAAAAATTCATCTGGATGAGTGTTTTAAATTTAATTACTTTCAAAACTATTCTCATTTTCGCGTTTTTAAAAAAAATTGAAACATTTTAAAACCATTTTCATTTTATTTTTCTTATTTTAAAAATATATTACATTTGATTATTGAAAACTATTATTATCTTGACCACTTGGTATTATAAGCCAGTAAGTTACCACTATTAACTTCCAATGGCCGTCACTATTGACTGATTTTAAATTATAAATTTGATTTTTAAATTAACACAACAAAACAGATTTTTTGTTTATTTTGTTTTAAAAAATAGTTTTAAAAACTATATTACAAAAAAATTTTAAAATAAAAATAATAACATGAACTAAACAGACTCTTAGTCAATGATTACGTAACTAATTTAATTTTATAAATTTTGTTACGTATAAGACATATATAATGAATTAAAACTCAACTTCATTAATCTTGTATTTAGATGTATGATTAAATCCTTCATTTGGATGCAAAAAAGTATATTGATTTGAATTTGATCCAAATCTATATTCATATTTTATTAGTATTCTTTATAATTTTAAATATATTTTATATCTTAATTGTTTGAAATTTTAGCTCTTCCAATGCTCTCATTTTCTCCATGTCTTCACCATTAGTGTCTTTATTACTCTTGCTTTTTCTCTCTTTTTTTTTGTTTTTGTCTTTTATCTATTTAAAAATATTTGGAAGCTCGCCACTCCTTTTTTTATATTTTTATTTCAAATATCAGCTTATCTTTTTTTTTTTTTTACCTTTAGTTTTTTTGACATTACATAAAAATTCTAAATACATAGATTTTAAATTAAAAATTCAAAAATCTATTCATCTAAACGCTTTTAAGCCTGGTGGGATGAATCAGAGTTTTGAAAGTCACGCTTTTGAGTTTTGATTGATTCAAGCCTTCTTTCGTGTTGATGCATTTTCGTTCATGAAAAGAACACTCCGCTAATGAATTCAAGCCAAAAAAACAGATTTAAACGTCATACATGGAAAATGAAGGAGAAGGAGGGCATTGGTTGATCGTATTTCTAGGTTGTAATGATAGGTTCTGTTGGTTTCTTTATTTTCCCGGGTTTGTATCAAATACGTTTTATTGCTTTTTATACTTTCCTAGGTTGTATGCACAGGTGTTCGTTCTTTATTTTGTTTGTGTGTAATACTGTTTTTTTTTTTTGTGATTAATAAAATGTCTTCGTTTTGCTAAAAAAAAAGGAAAAAAATTACATTTAGATTCAACTAAAGAAAATTCATTAGCAAAATGTCTTATAAAATTCATAAAATATTCTTAAATCTTGTGCGTTTATAATTTGACTAAAGTCATTAACAATTGAATAACAATCATTTATAATTTATTATTATAAGTTGTCATTTTTTTATAAGTTGTAAATATTTGAAGTTTGAGAATATTTTATAAATTTTATAAGACCTGTTGATAATAAATTCTCTTTTATAGATTTTAGATATAATTTTTTCAAAAAAAATCATATATGAAAAATGCAGAATTATCCTTATAGTACAGCATCTGTGCTCATCTCAACCCTGCATCAGCATTTAAATTCAAGTCCAGGAGAGACGTGGGCATTTAAATGCCGCAATACCAAGTTCGGGGAGGAGGGACCAGGGAGATAGGCAAGTGGCCGCGCGCGTGATTAGGCATTGCGGTACGGTTCCTATTGGCCAACGGAATTAAAATTGAGCGGCAAAAGAACTTTGGTTGGGCTGAGCCTGACCTTGCGGAACAGAATAATAGAAGTGATCGCTTGTTATTGCTACATGCCACCCTACCCCCAACATCAACGTCACGCGATGGTTCAAGATTACTACTACGATGCGCTTTTGTTTAATTCTTTGACCCTCCTTGGGTGCCATGCAGATGGACGAGTGTCGCTGCATGTTCCACGGTATGCTTGATCGTTGCACAGTTCCCTGTTACCTTCAAGCTTTAAATTCAGTTTCCACGGATTATATAAAAATACGCATG